GAAATGACCTCACTCCATCTCTGCCTCTCTTATCCCCCGTCGTGCATTAACTAACGGTTACGATCTTCTATTTAATATTTGATCAAAATGCAATCTTCTAGACGTCCTTAAAGCTAAGAGCAGGAAACTATCTTCTGGTTCAGGACTGCCTTCTGTCCCCAAAGTCCACATGGAGCAGCGTGCAGTCTCAAGCTGTATTCTGACAGAGAGGTGATTCTCACAGGAGGAAACTACAAACATGCGATGCTACAGTGTACACAGGAGTCAGGACGTCTGCAGCAGTGACATGCAACACACATTACTGCATCAGTAACATACATCATCATAAACACCGACTGGGATCATTTTACTGCAAGAGAAAACACACTTTGATTTAGGTTAGGGTTGAAATGCATGACTTCTACGTGTAGTGGTGCATGTACACAGTGTGTTAGAGGTTAAATACTTCCCAAATATGTGCATAATGGAGCCTATGCATGTTGACAAGCAGAGTGTGTGTGTGTGTGTGTGTGTGTGTGCAGATGACGAGCTGTGGGGTTTAGGGTCTGGGTTGTGGATGTACACTTTGAAAGGTATTCTGCTTAAGAACTGAGTAAAAACAACTGTTAATGAGAAACACCTGCTAAGTTACGTTGCATATAATTCACGTTGTGCTTTATACTTTAATACATACAATATTTCACTTTTTACTCCAATACATTTATCTTTAAAATGCCGTGATTTGCAGGTATGGATTTAAAATACAGAATACAAATCAAACGATAAATATTATGCATTATTTTAGGTTAAGCTACCCAGCAGTAAAGCAATTAATTTGCTTTGTAATGTCATGTATTGTAATAATCCCCACCTTTACCATGTGCAACCTTGACATTAATGCATTAACAATACATTTAATACAAACATGTTATATTTTTAAATCTGAAATGGGCACAATCAGTACTTTAACTAAAAGTGTATTTTAAAGCCTGATAATAACGTTTCATAACATACGGTTAATCTAAGCAGGTTACATTTCAGCTGCAGCATTTAACTCTTTAATGCAATGGTTAAATATGCTATTGTTCAGTTAATTAATGCATTTAGCAGGTTTGATGTAGCGTTAAGCAGCCGATTCTTGTTTTTCTCTCCAGGTAATAGACGGAGCCCTGACTGCGGCCTTGTCTTCTATACAGGCTGCAGCTGAGCCCCAGAACTGGGCCTCGACTAGAGCAGCAGATTATATCAGTTCATGTGACAAAAATCTAATTAAAGGGGGATGGTAACAGTGTGATTCCTATTTAATAAGCATGCACTACGAATAAGGTGAAAATGAAACTCGGTTCGTGTATTAGACGTTGTATGTTGAAGAGCAGGAGTGTTCCAGCAAATAGACTGCGCCACAAACACTGTTCCAGCAAGTAGCCTGCACCATAAACACAGCTCCAGCACAAACACTGTTTCCAGTTAACACCGTTATAGCAAACGCTGTTCCAGCAAATAGCCTGCGCCACAAACACTGCTCCAGGAAATAGCCTGTACCTGGTCTGCGATGTTTTGGACTCCCATCTCCCAAACTCAGCCGGGACGGAGCTCCTTCATGAGGAGGAAACCTGCAGGTTTTACCGGCGGAGCTACTGAGTCCGCGGATAGACTACACCCATGGCCGGCTGCGAACAGAAATGCGCTCCGATGTGTCAGTGTTGTTGTCGGTAGTCCGGTCTGTGGTCTGACGGATCTGAGGGTCCGCCTACAGGCGTGGCGGGGCCGGGGAGCTGAGCGGAAAGGCCGTCCCCTGTGGAGGGAGGAGGTACTGCAGTGTGGAGGGAGGAGGTACTGCAGTGTGGAGAGAGGAAGTACTGCAGTGCGGAGGGAGGAGGTACTGCAGGCGGACTGCCCCGTGTGGAGGGAGGAGGTACTGCAGGGGAACGGCCCCGTGTGGAGGGAGAAGGTACTGCAGCGTGGAGGGAGGAGGTACTGCAGTGTATTATTTATTTATTATTTATTTAATTAATTATTGTGTTATTATTGTATTGTTATTTCGTTATTTTATTGTTATTTTAATTTTTTTATTCCTTATTATTTTATTAGGTGAAACCGTGCACTTCATCCCTGAAGGGGGCGGTAAATGCACCATTAAGCTGGTTTGTTTGAACCACCATTAAAAGAAAATAAGAAGAAGCGGTTCCTCTCCAGTCCACAGTAGGCACTGTTTCCCCGCAGAGCTTCGGCGAACAAATGCCAGAAGAACAGTCTGTCGAAAAAATCAGGCAACTGTGAGATTATTACATTTCTAAGAGAAATTGATCAATTTAAAATAATCTATTCTAGAGGTTTAGTTCTTTTTTCTTTTCTTTCTTTTGTTTATTATTTTCTGCATAGTCTCTTGTCCACACTCCAGTCCAGTTGGTGGCGGTAATGCACCTACAAGTTCGTTTGCCAACCGCCAATAAACACCAAAGAAGAAGAAGACGAATAAGAAGAACAGTCTGTCCCACCGGCTCTAGTTTAATCAGAAGGTCGTTCTCGGCCGGGCGGTGTTTAACAACAACCGAAACCTCAAGAAATCACCCATTAATTCAACTTTATAGAGAACTATTTCTCCAATCGCGGAGGGATGTGCGCGTTGCCGTTTAAAAAAAGGGACAGACAAAGCGCGGCGGAAGGTCGCTTTTATTCGGGACTCGTTATGAAACAATGCTAACGGCGAGCTAACGTTAGCACCGCAACGGCTATAGAAGCGACGCATAGTTACGGTAACTAATAAATAACAGGTTATTCTGGTTGGTCGGGGTTAGTGGCTAACGTGGGAACTATTACACCGGAAGAAGCAGAGTGTTTGCACTCCGGGTTTTGTTGGACCGGTGTCAGAGGCTCTCAAACCCCGGATTCAGGTCTCAGCAGATCCTTCGCCCGGTCTCCAGTCCTCAGAACCTCGGTCTCTGGTCCTCTGAACCCCGGTCTCCGGGTGTTCTGAACCCCGGTCTCTGGTGATCAAGCCCCCGGTCTACAGTCCTCTGTTCCCCGGTCCCAGCAGCTCCTTCTCCCGGCTGGTTGGATGGCAGCCTCGGCAGGAGCCCGGAGGCTCCCCATGGGGGTGCGGACCTTCAGTGACTTCCTGCAGATCGCCTCGGTGGGCTCCCCCCGGTCAGTGCTCTCAGCAGGGGGGCCAAGAGGAGGCCTGAGACAGAGCATCAGGTAACTGAAGCCGGCCAAGGGTCACCTAAAGTCTGATCTGTGAGGGCTATCTTTGGACACACTCAACCAGTCATGTGAGGAAATGGTCAAAAGCTAGGGTGGAGAATTCTCTAAAGAAATAAGGAGACTGTCTTTAAATTAGTTGAATATCAATAGGGTGTTAACCATGGTGTTAACTGATCAGAAGTGGCGCCAGCAGTGACAGACTTGACAAAGACTGGATTCGTGGACTTGCTCTAAAACGTGGACGTGTCTCTCTGATTGCACTGTACAATCTCTTGTAGATTTCTTGCCCGTATACTCAGATCTTGTACTTGAGTAAAAGTAGAAGTACCAGAGTGTAGGTAAACGTCCTGCATTGAAAATGTTCCTCAAGTAAAAGTAGAAAAGTATTATCATCAAAATATAATTAAAGTATCAAAAGTCAAAGTACTCGTTTTGCAGAATGGCCCATTTAAACACCATACATTTCAAGTTAGGGTTTACTTGAATGACTGCTGGGTAGCTTAACCTTTAATAAAATAGGATTATGTAATGTATGTATTTTGTATACAGAACCTAGATCTGCAAAGTAACTAAATATGTAAAATAAATGTAGTGAAAGTACAAGTACCTTAATATCTTTACTGAAGTACAGTAGTACAGCAGCCGGTCATGGAAAAGGGTCACCTTCATTCTGCATGTAAACACTGCGATGTCTGAGGGCTATCTTGGGATCTCACATGCTAATCTAATGATGTGGATGAAATGCTAAATAGCTACCGTAAAGAGATCACTGTCTAAGACATGAGAAGGAAACTCTGAGGGTGTAGGGTTCAGGAATTAAAATACAAACGGTGGTACATCTCAACATTGACCTGGGGAAATGTACACTAATGAGAGCGAGGCCTGCGCTGAGTTATTGGTCTAAATGCCGGAAAATAGAGGAAAACGTCCATAGAAATACAATCATGAAACATATGGGAGACGTGTGAAATGGGACCCCTTACCTAAAAAACACCCCACACTGAGCAAACCCCTCAGAGTTAAAGCGCTAACTGGCTTTAATGTCTTATTTCCCCAGTCCACTGCGTCGCATATTAGAGACAGACTTTAGCATCACATCACTTTATTCATTTAGAAAACAACACAGAAATACCTCGTGACTGCGCCTGTGGATTTACTGTAGAAATGGAAAGGTAAAGTAAACACAGGATCCTGCTCTCGTGATTTAGTCAGGGGACAAAGCTTTCACCGTTCATAAGAGAACTCAGAAACCTCCAGCACACACACACACACACCTTGCTATGATTGTCCTCTGCCTTCAGTCTCTGGAAGCTGTGTGTTGTTGTTGTTGTCGCAGAGACTCCCTCTTTCCAGAGTGAATCTAACGGGACGTTTCCTCTCACCTTTCAGACACCTGTCGTCATGCGGCATTCTGATGACCAGAACTCCCAGAATGCTTTGCTTTCAGGACACGGTGACGACGGTTCCTCCGAGCAGAAACTTCCTCAGCTTCACCAACAAGAGGAAGGAGTACTCAGAGCGCAGGATACTCGGGTAATTCATCCACAACGACATTATTACTCGTTTAAATTGAGGGGTATTGATTACTATGTTAGTCCTTTCTTTACATTCTTATTTTTAAATCTTTATTTATTTTATTATTGTATTATTTATTTGTTATTTTGTTATTGTTTTATATATTTTATTCTTATTTAGTTATTATTCTTATTTTTTTATTATATCATTTATTTATTTTATTTATTGTTTTTTTAAATATTTTTTAATCCCTTATTATTCTTATTTTATTTATATATTAACATTTGTAATTCTTGTTTTATTCCATCCTTTGTTTATTGACTTCTGTTGTTTATATTTTTGTGTATCTAAAGCCCTATATAAATAAAGTTATATATATTTGAATCCTATTGTGCACGCCTCAGCTTCTCGATGCAGGAGATGTACGACGTGGTGGCCAACGTGGACGACTACAAACACTTCGTCCCGTGGTGCAAGAAGTCCACGACCGTCATGAAGAGAGCGGGGCACGCCAAGGCTCAGCTGGAGGTGGGCTTCCCCCCCATGGTGGAGCGCTACACCTCCATGATCACCAACGTGAGGCCGCACCTGGTCAAGGTGAGTCCTGCGGAACAGCACAGCTGCTGCTTCAAGGTTCAAGGCTTTCATCGTCATGTGTGCAGAGCTACAGTGTGGTTATGACCATGAAGTTCTGAGGTCACAGGCTCCTCCTCCAACAGAGCAACACAGATACAATAGTGAAAGTAAATACAATAGAAATAGTGCAAGAATAGTCAATATCAAAGAGAGACATGTGTATATAGAGTTAAAGAAACTTGATAAAATATATAAACACTAGGGATGCACCGATCTACAACGCGACGTCTCCCGCTCACCGAGCAAAACGTAAACATCGGAGCATTTTACCGATGTGCCAATGGTGGGAAAAGGTGTGTGTACACGGATGTATCGGTGCATCCCTAGTATTGGAAAGAACTGACATTGCGATACGAAAAAATACAGGAATTGAAGAAAAGACAGTTAAACCATCCTTTCTTGAACTTGAATGTTTTACAATTGGTATTTTTCTAACGATATTTAACCGGATGAAGGATTTTAGTCACGGACGTCTGGATCTTAAGTCATCAGAGCAACAAGCTGAGCTAGCTCGGTTGTCCTGCTGCGATCTGATCAAGACTGGTTGTGATTGGTGGTTTGCTGACAGAGCCGGCATGTCACTCACTCCAGTACCCTCACATGAGAGTTTTCCTTTTGTAGCGAGCAGCAAAAGTAACATGACGTGTTTGAGTTCATTTGCCTGCTTAATATCGCACGCCCTAAAACATTTTTCTAGATCTGATTCAATAAGTCGGCTAAACAATTGACAGAAAAATGATCTCTTTTCATATTCTTCAAATGCTGTTAACGGCCTCTCAGATACGGAGATCCGGCTTTCCTCGGTTTTATATCACATTAAAGAGAATATCTTTGACAGAAGTCATTTTAAAGACATCACCTTCAACTTTAGGGAAATTGTGACGGACATTTCTCACTATTTTCGGACCTTTTTATCGACCGAACAATTAAAACTAAAAATATCGCACGTCCTGCGCATAACGCGATTATCGTCACGACGCGATATATCGTGCAGCCCTAATCCAGAGTATGAACCATGTTACCGTTTGCTTTAATTGTATAGAAACAGTTTGATCCAAACCGGCCTAAATAACTGCATATTTGTGACCGGCTCTATCGAAATCAGTCGCATTGACCCGAAGACACATTTTGAGTTGTATACTGTTGGAAAGAGGATATTCCTAGCTCTCTAATGATATCAGGATTGATGTTCTACTCCAAATATTAAGCGAAATATGTCACATTTATATAATGACTTTCACAGTCATCATTTTGAGAAAAAGGCCTTCAAAGTTTCCTCTTCTCTGGAATCCAGCGATCTGATTGGTTATTAGCAAATGATCAAAGTACTACGGAGGGAAGATATTTTCGTTTGGATTACTGGTCTGGGGGAAGCTCGCGAGTGTGTGGTTGTGTAATTTTGCGTTTGTGTGTATTGCGTTTGTTTCCCGGGGAAAACACTCACGAGAAACACGGGTTGTTGTTGTGCCTGCTGTGACGTCAAGTTACTCCGTTCTCCGCTTGTAATTATGCCGAAGCTTCAAAGTTGTATTTATCATCTGAATTTGCGGAAACAAGTTTAATATTCTGAAAGCCAAGACTTTGTTTATTTGAAATCAGATGAAAACAAACTGTAACGGACCCTGCCGTGTTATCTATGATTACTCTACGCTTACATTCATAATGTCAGCCGGAGGGAGGGGGGGCGGCGCTGCGGAAGAGCAGATTGCCTGTCATCTTCCCTTTACAAGCTTAAAGAATGTATTTATCGTGGGAGTTTGGAAATAAAAGTTTCATATTCTGAAAGCCAAGACTTTGTTTGTTTAAAATCAAACAAAACACCCAAACCCAGAAAAAATAGTTTTTTACGCAAATCCACGTTTATTTTGAAATGAGCCGTTGCGACTTCCGACTGATTTCGATAGAGCGGGTCACATTTGTAAGAAGTCCTAACGCATGCTTCGTCAGGTCTGTCCGCAAAGACAGCCAGCGTCGATGTATCGCTGCGTCCCTAATTTGTTTTAGAATATTTGTATTGCACATTCTCACTTTAAGTTCTTAGGATTTTAAAAAGAAATTCTATTTATTTTTGTCTTTTTATTGAACATTTACTTTTTTGTCTCAAAAATATCTTTATTTAACTGTTAATATTTAATTTAAAGTATTTAATTTGACTATTTTATTGACGTTTTTATTGCACATTCTCACTTCTTTTGTTCTTTTTAAATATTTTACTAAATGTGTCTTTTTCCTGGATATTTGTAAAAAAAAAATATTCCACATTCTTGGTTTACTTTTTAATGTTTTTACACATATTTATATTGTTTATTTCATTCTAAAATAGAGCAGCTTTCACAAAACCCTAATTCCCCCTGGAATAAACAAAGACTAATTTCTGACCCTCCCCCCCTCTCTGTCCTCCAGGCGGTGTGCACAGACGGGAAGCTGTTCAATCATCTGGAGACCATCTGGCGCTTCAGCCCTGGTATCCCCGGATACCCCCGAACCTGCACCGTAGACTTTTCTGTGAGTAAACCCCCCAAGTGCTTTCTCAACGAGCGTTAGAGCAGGATCTCGACATTTCATTTGTATTTGTTCCGTTCATGGTATGCACAACTTCATGTTTAACAAATATTTACAAAACACGTCTCCATAAACACACCTTTGACCGGAAAGGAGCAGGGAGAAGAAAATAATCTTCTATGACCTGCCCCTTTCTAAAAACATAAACAGATGGTCTGTCCTTCATATGTTCTTATTCACAGCCACACATCACAGCATCGTAGGATAATAAGAGAAACACAAACACATACTAACAAAAATACTTAGTTCCCTCTTGACAGTTAACGGAAAGAAACAAAACAACAACACATGAGCCAAATCTCTCACCTCGGTAAAGTAGGTATAAATAATAATAATCATTGCATTTCATTTGAGATAAGATGGAGCTTCATGGGGAAAGTCAGGCGTTTGTAGCAGCAACGGTGTCAGAGTGAAACACAGGATTCAACCAGGGTACAAATAAAGACAAAGTAGAATAAAAATAATGATAAAGTAACTGTTGAAGCAAGATATCACAGAAAAATGAGCATCTGAATGAACATGTTAAATATATTTACATAAATGTGCACTTTTCCAAGTCCTCAGGCGCTTTGCATTACATATGATATATTTCAGACATGTTATACATCGATGTAATGCTCTCACATGCAGAGCACACAGTGACATGTGTTCTCTGCATTTAACCCATCCTAGAGTCTAGCCCCAGGAGTCTAGCCCCAGGAGTCTAGCCCCAGGAGTCTAGCCCCAGGAGTGGAGTACACCAGCTGGGCGTAAGCTGGGCGTAACTCTACGTCCGACGTAGAACCGAAGGTTAAGACCAAACTAAAGTTATGACTAGTGCACCACTTAGACTTAAGCCCTGTATGCGTTGCGCCCGGGTGTAACTTTTACGCCTAGTATGGAGCAGGCGTAAATCGGAAAGACAGACTAGTATCCATAGTAACGTAAAACAGGCAAGAAGGATATTAACGATGGCAGGGCGTCTTGTTTACATGTTTAACAATGAAAGGGCATTAAGAAGAGAAAGAGTAGTCCGTGATCGAACAAACCCGCTGGACATCTATTCAGACAGTGAACTGATAGAGGTTTCAGCAGACAAGCCCTTTTTGATTTAATCGAGGAGATCTCCCCTCAACTCCAGCACGGATCGGATCGAAACGCTGCGCTCTCCCCAACCTTGCAGGTGCTGATTGCGCTCAGATTCAGAATTGTTTTGTGTTCCGCTCTCAATTTGACGGTCTCCACCTCCACACGAACGATTTGTTTCTCCATCAGTTCCCGCTGTAGCTCTGACAAATCCCTCTTTCTCTTTCGGGTGTGGCCATTTGGAATTCCCCTTGAGTCATCGCTGACGCTGTGGGTGTGGGAATTCCCTCTTCTCTGCGGTTTTCTGAGTCTGTAAAATGGTAAAATGGCGTTGCTTGGCAACAATTACTGTTTCGTGTGTATTCACGTGGACGGGCATCTTAAGACCAGGCGCAGCTACGCCCGAGACTAGTCAGGCTTGGTGCACTCGGTGTAAATTCGAATCACTACGTCGGACGTAGCTAAGCCCGACGTTAGAGTTAAGCCCTACTTTTTTACGCCCAGCTGGTGCACTCCACTCCAGGAGTCTAGCCCCAGGAGTCTAGCACTAGGAGCAGTGGGCAGCTATTGCACAGCGCCCGGGGAGCAAGGGGGAAGGGGGGTGTCCGGTGCCTTGCTCCAGGGCACCACGGCAGGGCAGGAGGTGAACTGGGACCTCTCCAAGTAGTAGTCCACTCTCCATGTGGGGGACTTGAACCGGCTGAGCCCCTGCGGGATTGAACCGGTGTTCCTCTGATCTGAAGATCAACGCACTATCCCACTGTACCTCAGCTAGCTTAGCTTAGCGAGCCGCCTGTATTAGTGTAGCTTCGTATCCATCGCACAGATATCGATCTCCTCATGTTACAAACAAAAGAAGCAGGTAGATTCTGTTTATGTTAGTGTTGAGTGAACGGATCGGCAGTCTGAATGCAAAATAAAGATTTGCAAATAACGACGATTTGCAAATCTGCAAAAATAAATAAAATACAAATCTTTGAATACATCTAATTGTTTAAGTAGTTAATGAAAAGCAGTTTTAAATATATTTCCTACATCTCCTTCCATCAGGACTTTTATTTAGGGATCTCATCTCTACGTTTGTGGGTTGGCATATTTCTACAGATCTGCCCGGATACCATACGATACGATGACACTTTAGGCAAGACAAGTTTATTTGTAAAGCACCGTTCAACACAAGGTGCTTTACAAAAATGAAAGGCATTAAGAAACATTATAAAATGGCTCATTTCAAAGCAAAGATAATAAAACATGGGTAACAGGAACATGGATAAAAGTTACAGCGCCGTGTGAGATGTGAACAGTTCAATTAGAAGCAGCGGCAAACAGAAAAGTCTTCTTGCTGGATCTAAAAGCAGTCAGAGTTGCAGCGGACCTGCAGGTTGTTCCAGATGTTTGGAGCATAATGTCTGAACTTCTCATGTTTAGGTCTGACTCTGGGTCAGATCAGGTCTGACATGCGCCTTGCATCACAGTGTAGCATCAACACATATCAAGACACAATACATGAGCAACAAACATTGAACATGACAGCAGGATCACTGCATATGTCCCGCCTCCTCTCTCTCCTTGTAGTTGCTCTAAACACATTGTAATGACCCCCCCCCCTCTCTGTTCCGATGCAGATTTCCTTTGAGTTCCGCTCCCTGCTCCACTCTCAGCTCGCCACCATGTTCTTCGACGAGGTGGTGAAGCAGAACGTGGCGGCGTTCGAGCGCCGGGCGGGAACACTGTACGGCCCCGAGACGCGCATCCCCCGAGAGCTGATGTTCCACGAGGTGCACCAGACGTGATCAGAGCTGAACCCTTGTGACCTTTAACCCCACCTGCATGATGCTGCTTTAGAAGACTTACATCCAACTCCTGAAACCCCCGCCTCATTCAAATACTCTGATAAAGGGTCTCTTCAATCTGGATCAAACCATCTTTCTGTGTCTCAAGGGGGACGATTTCTTTTGTCCAATAATGAGAGGGCGCTGCAGCTAGCTTTGTAATGACCACTACTCGCGCTCCTGTTGGCTAGCGCTCAAACGCACTGTACGTGATGGGCTAAAGGGGCGGGACATTTCTTAAGCGGTTCACCAATCACAACAGAGCCGGCCAGCTAACCAATCGCAGCGGCTCTGGTTTCAGACAGAGGGTGAAAAGAGGTGCTGCAGTATGAGACCAATAAAGAGCTTTTGGAACATTAGAGCATGGAGACGTGTCCCAGGAGACACTGAGGGACTCTTTAAAGGTTGGAGTAACGGCTGCAGCGCTCTCTTTTTACAACGTGTCCCCGTCAGTCACAGACTAAAGGAAGCGTCCCTTTAACTGCGTCTCTACCTCCACTGGAAGGACTCTCTATTTATCAGCGGGGTCACAGTTACAGCTGTCGTTGCGTCGTCATGTGACCGACAGCTCTCGTTTTAAAACTCTGAACAAAAAACCCGTTTAATTTGCTCTCATTTTACCGAGACCCTGTGATATCAGGCTGCAACGACACATCAGTCATAGGTCATCGATCGTGTGTGAGAAAATGTTAAGAAGTGCCTGCTTTAAGTGGCCAAAACCCCCAAAATAAGCCAAAGATTTAACCAGCAGAAAAGGACCTTAAAGATGAGCACGTTTGCTCCTCGGTGTTTCCACGTTTATCTGCTGCTTAAATCTGCCTTTAATTGAATTATCTAAATCTATTCATTTTAGTTAATCTGATGCAAAAACAACAACTCCTTTCATTTATTTATCAGCGGTCGTTTGCATATTCGGACAGTTTTAAATTAGAAGAAGGGAAATGAAACTTCTAATTAAGTTGAATGTATTTTATTCTGGCTTCTTCTTGATGCTGTGAGGAATTATATTTTTTGGTCTCTTGAGACATTACCAGATTTAATAAGGCTTTATTTCACAGCCCAGCGCACAGATTTAGAAAATATATACAAATCCACTGATATTTAACGCCTGCTTGTTTGCCGCGAAACACAACCGCCTGCTCGTGGGATAGAAGAATGAAAAAAAGGCAATTATTACCAAAATGATCACGAATAACTGTATTTACTGAAAAACCTGGACATATTATTGATAATCACATTAAATAATAATCACTGCCTAGAAAAACTATAAATATGTTGTATTTATCTCGTTCTTTGTGTGTACTGTGTGATAAAGTGCTGGGCTGTGGAATAAAACATATCTCATGTCTGGTTTCCTGTTTCCTTTCTGCTGTTTTATTTTATTTACCGGCTTTATGAATCAGTATCTCGACGAGGCGGACCATGCATTGATCGGGAAATACATATATATTTAATTTGGGGGATTTACGTTTCGTATATTCTATTTAAAATGCTTCATAAAAGATTGTCTTCAGCTTCACAAACTGAAGACAAGAATATCTCCTGCATCAAAACTCACACAGACAAGTTTCAGGGATGGACAAATGGCGGCCCCCACCTCCTCTTTTTGCGGCCCTCAGATTAATATATAAACAACGTAATTAATAAAAAAAAAAATCATTATTATGTTTTACTTGTAGTACTGATACCGTCCACTAGACTCCTAGTTACGTCGCGAGCTGCGTACATGATTTCAAATACCGCGAAATAATCTGTGACGCATTTGTGTGCATTGTGTTTGTTTCCCGGGGAAACCCTCACAAGAAACACCGACTGTTGTTATGCCTGCTGTGACGTTAAGTTGCCTCTTGTAATTATGCCTTTACAAGCTTACAAGTTGTTTTTATCATCTGAATTTGGCGAAACAAGTTTAATATTCTTAAAACCAAGACTTTGTTTATTTGAAATCAGATGAAAACAAACTGTCACGGACCCTGCCGTGTTATCTATGATTACTACGCTTTTCATTCATAATTTCAGTGGGAGGGAGGGGGAGCTGCGCTGAGGAACAGCAGAGTGCGGGCTGACAGGTGTCTGTGTGGACATTCCCCTTATGGGGAATGCAGAGACTGGCTGCAAGTGTTTTAGGTTCAAGTTAGACAACTAATGTCTGGGTTAGTGTTCATGACTTCATGTGTATGTCATCTAATGGTTCATCTCAATACACACACATTTTCCGTGCTTTCCAATAGTTTAAAATAGTTTTATTCCACTGTTCAATACAAACATGCACTTGTAAAAATGAAATAAAATTCCTGTGAACTAATATTTGTTTAGTGAGCTTATTAGAGGATGTTCCCATTTTGTGGGGATGTTCCCTTTGATTGTAAAATGTCAATGAAGATGTCAGACTTAGTATATTTGTTAATTCTATAAACACATGGAATTTTTGTGTGTGTGTTCCAAGTGAATCTGCGGCCCCCTGGTGGCCAGCACATCAATGATGTGGCCCCCACCACCATCAAAGTTGCCCATCCCTGATTTAGATGCTCGTGATCTGTCAACGGAGGGGGGGGGGGGGGGGGGGCTCGTGAATTGCTGTTACGGAAAGAGAGGGTTTAGGTTGCCATAAGGCTGTTGACGGTGTTATTATGCATCCAGAGGCAGAGAAGGTGTTGGTGCTGCCGGATATGGAAGCCCCTCTTTAGTTTTTCACCTGCTGGGCCCAGAGTAAAATGCTTTTGTGAGCACACACTAGAGGGGATCAGCCAACACCAGTGTATCTGGCAGGAGAAATACCTGCTCTGCTGAACATGTAGGGAACAGTGCAGATCTTCCTATTGACACCAGGATTAACCTAGTCTAAAATAAGGAACATTGATAGTGTGATATAGGCACAGATATAAGATCAATAATACACTTTATTTTAGGGCACCTTTCAAAACATTCAATGTCACTTTAAAATAAAATATGAGTGGCATTACAATACAAACATGTGTTGAGTAGGAAACCACAGAGGAACATTACATTCAAAGGAGCAATTAAAGCCAGTTTGGACACATTATCTTTTAGGCTTGATTGAAAATAACACATTGTCTGACATTATCATGTTATATCATTACTGTCCAGGGGCGGTTCTAGGGGGGGCAGTGCCCCCCTAAGACTGACCTGTGGCCCCCCTAACAATGAAAAGTTCTTTTTTTGTTTTTTTTAAAATGTATATTTTCTGGTACTCGGTTTGCCAAAAACCGCAGGATTTTGTTGCTGTAATGTGAGATTGTGCAGACACCCTTATGTAAAGTAGAGATGTAACTGTTCATTGCCCATATTTTTATATAAATATGGTGTTAGTGCAAACATTGCACTATAACTTAAGCTGAAGCTAACAGTAATAACTATAAGATCTATCTGAAATAAATAAGTGTACTGAAAGAAATACCAATAACTGTATTGCATTGTTTTCTTATGCGCAATTACTTCATACTGTCTAGTTCTCTTTTTCGTCCTGCATTTATTGAGCCCCCCTCAGAAAATAACCCCCAGTCAAATTGGTCTAGAACCGCCACTGTTACTGTCATATCATTGCTTACTATTCGTGGTTATCAAGTATCAGACACTTAAACAACAGAGAAGGTTTTAAGAAATAGGACTATACTGACAAATTACATCTTATCCTTTCACTGTCTGTTCTGTAGGAAGGAGGAACATAGCAGAGTGGGACTACACCATTGACTACACTTAAAAATGGAAGTTTGTTCCAATACGAAGATTGTGTCCTTAAAACGAGCTTCCTCGCAAGTGTATGCACATTATTTATTCCGCCATTTGCTGTTTAATCTGATGGGAAAATATATTATTCAAAAGAGAGAAAAAAGCTTAGAAAACTAGGCGAACGCTCAATACACGCGATGACGTCACCTGTGCGCGTCGCCGCGAACGGGAATCAATCAAGAGAAATGTCCAACGAGGCGTTCTGGGGCAGCTAGACTGGGCTTTTCTGTGTTAGAGTTGTACTCGCTACAGGGTGCACTCTGAGGGTTTGTGAAGCTACATAACACACAGGGGGACGGGTAATAACCTGAAAGCATGACATGATCGGACCTTTACATCTGACCGTGCATGTCATTCATAACCCCAGAGATGCTGCATCATGTAAAGAAAATCACCTTCTTTTTCTGTATTTCTTTCAGAGGTGTTTTTATTTTTCCGTAGGTTTTACGCAGATTAA